AACGGGCTCTGGGGCAGCTTCACCCTCTCCTCTTGCCATGTGAAATCATCTTTACTATGGCTCTCTGGGACAGTGACCCAGATTTTTAAAAATTTCTAGTCCGGCAGTCTTCCATGGTCTGAACTTTCTTGAATCTAAAAATCTGGCAACTCTGTTGGGATGTATTACAGACACGTAAAATTCATCAAATCCAAAATGAATACTTAATGTCCAAACTTAATACCACAAACCCTGTGTTCGCCGCTCAGTAGACAAGATGCAGTCCAGCCCTAGGGGAGGGTAGAAATCTAGTCCAGCTGAGCGTACACTGCATCTCCACAGAACCATATGTAAATCTGGTTTATTTTTGTTATTTGTCATTGATATGAATGTTTATAGTAAAGATTTATAAAAGAACATTTAATATATATTGATCAAATAGGTACACTGTTACATTAATATTTTGAAAGATATCAAAGCCAACAGGAAGTGTCAGATTGTTAAGTGACAATAAGCTAAATTCTGTGGGCGCATCCCTGGAAATTGCTGGTAGATTACCTACTGCCCTAGAAAAGCTCGCCAGAGCTCCCTGGACTCAGCAAGTCCACTTTGAGTCAGGGACTGTGGAGACCTTGAAGTTGTAAATCAGAAAGTCTGTACTTGTAAACAGTTCCTGCTTGGTTTGCAGCACGGGTGTGGCTGTTCCCTTGGAGAAGCCCTGGAAGTTGCTGCTGCTAAGCGCCCCGGACAGTCAGAACAATCCCATGTCCCCATGTACCCAGATGTCCTATTGATAACTGATATGAATAATCTATGTGAAAAGTTTATTGATCATTATCTGAGCCCGGTTCACAATTCCATTTTATTTATATACAACGGGATTTTTGCGTAATGGCTTTACCTACTGAATTCTCCAAGGATTTAACAGCATTGAAGCTGATAGAAGCTTGGGCTTTCTTCTGGTTAAAACTCTAGGAAGATGTGCTCACCATTTCAGAAAGTCCCAGCACCCACACCAGCCCTGGTAGCACTTCAGAGTCTCTGGGGTGACCTGTGCCCCTCACCCCCATCATGTGTCCTAGTGGTGCATTTGTGGTGACAATTCTACATAAAAATGCCAGCATGCCGTGACTTCTTTATGTCTTCTAGTGCAGCTTATTTTATTATAAATTACTTTCCTTTTATTACTACTTTACAGTATAGTTATGCCAGGATGTTGCACTTTATAAAAATTATATGTGTAGGCAAAATATATATACTCTGAATTTCATTTCAGGAGACAGGGAGGTTGTTACAAAGGATTTATTATAAAAGTACAGGGAAAAAGGCTGATATAATGGAGAACTACTGCCCCACAGGGTAAAACACACAAATACACGGATAATTTTGGCATCTGGGCTCCCTCTGAGCAACAGAAGGGGCTGCCAGACATCATGAGTCAAGTCTCGAGTAACGCACACATGACTTTTTATAAGATTAGTCTTCCTCTGAAGTATGTATTTCCCAGTCTTGCCCCCCCCCCCCCCCCTTTGTTTTTTTCTGTTTCTGCAAAGGCAAAACTCAGCCTAAGGAAAAGGAAGTCTTACTGGTTAATAAGATGCTAAAGCAAATAACCATTTTGGCAGAAAGCTTTCATACAAGGGGAGCTCACAGGCAGGGGGCCGAGGACGGCCAGCAGCCAAACCCCGAAGGCAAGTGAGTGGGCAGCGGAAGGACATCGAGTGCGTGCTCAGACCCGCCACTGCACTCTGGCCGTGACTGCACAGAACGCTCGGCACGGGGTGTTTCCTTTCTCCACCAATGGCGCTGGGCGACTGTGATTGGCCCTAGGGACTGCACTGAAGGTTGCTAGGTGACAGAGGCCAGCGAGGTTGCTGTGGACAGGGATTAGGGCAGTTTGGGGCTGAGTTTATGTCAGATTATACTAGAAACTTCAGAGTATTCATTTCCTTAAAAAAATGAAAAAGAAAAGAAAAAGAAAGGAGGAGGAGGGAGAAAAAACTGGGTAAATACACAGACCCAACCGCTGGGAGACTGGGAGGGAGACCAACATAAACACTACAGGGTCAAAAGCCCCCGGGCCATTATCCTAAAGGAAGACAGACAGATGGAGCAGTTGTCCTGAGACAGAAACAGCTACATCTCCACCCCTTGCACCTTGCACCCCAACTCCTAGGATCACAGAATTCACTCAGAGCTTAGCTTAAAGAAGTTCAAGGGGCAGTCGGGGTGCTCCCTAGGCCAGAGAGTTCCCAGAGAACCAGGTAATTCATGGGCAAGCATGACAGAGACGGCTCGGGCTGCTACTCTCTCACCTTCACATGCCAGTGAGCGTCCTAGGACAGCCCGGTGACTGCGGTACGCATCCTAGGGACCACCTCTCACTGCTGGCCTACCCTGTACCCTGTGCTCTCAGAGAAAAGCCATCCACAGCTCTACTTTCTCACACAACATGCCCTCCTCCGGCCTCTTGGGTTCAGGGTGCCCCCGGACTTCATCACCAACAGTGAACTCTTCTTATACCTCTCTTCCAACTGTGAACGTAAAACCGGGGTCATAGGAGCCTGCCGTGGTTGTCTTGGATGTACCTATAGCAACATGGCGAGTTTACAGAAAAAAAAACTAAAGCTCCGGGGAGGAGCGACTTGGCACCATCCTTCCTCAGGTAGGTGGGAGCGCCGGCATCTGGAGTTTGGTCTGGCTCATCGCCACTGCACTGCAACTTCTCCTAAGGTGTCCTAAAGGGCTGGGCCTTTTGTATTTCCAAGCCATCCAGTGACTTCCTCTTTTATAGCCCTAATTGCATACAACTACTGCATACAACTACGTGTCCAATGTCCGAGTTCTCATTGGGCCAGGAGGCTCCCAAGGAGGGAATGGTCCATCGTGCTTTTCCCTCTGACCCTGGGGCCTATGGCCTGTCCAGTGCAAAAGAGCAAACATCTGCGATGGTTCCGACTGTACTTCAATGTTTAACAAAGAGCGTTCAGGCTCTTTATCAGTAAATACCAGGTGTCCCTTTCCAATCATTTATAAAATAATCTCAGAAACAAAAGGAAAGGAAAGCAAAATTCTTCTACTTAAAGTATTTACTATGCTTAAGATTCATACAAAGTTTTTTTTTCTGCGAATGTTTCTGTTAATGTGCTTCTGAACATGTATACTTTCACTGTACACACTATATACAAATATTTATGTGTTTATTACTAGGAACATATATTATTTAGTTAGAATCTTGAAAATTAAAAGTCACTAGTAGTATGCTTATCACTTATTAAATCTGTGACATAACACAAAGGATCAGGAAGAATACAAATGTCCCCATATGAAAGGACCCCATATTAGTAGCAGAGTTATCTATGCTACCCAAACCTGGAATGATTACATTGTGTGTCTACACAATGGAATACTACGCAGTGATGAAAATGGACAAACCAGCGTCCATCCTACACCTGAGCTGAATCTCACAGCAGAACTTTGTGTGAACAGAGCCAATGCCAAAAGTGCCTAAAGCCCATGCATATAGAGTTCAGATACAAACTGAAAAAATTGGTGGTGTTCAGTTCATTGATTATTCTGGCCACAGACCCAGCAGGATAGGGAAGGAGCACAGGAAGGTTTTAGGGTACTGAGAAGGTCTTTTCTGACCTGTGCGTCAGCTCACAAGGGCTCAACCTGAGAAGCTTCACGGGGTACCTAGGACCTATGCGGTTCTGTGTCATGTGTTTATAGAGGTTCACTTTTTAAAAAGAGTTCCCCAAGGTATCCGTATTTGCGGATGTGGGTGCCAGTGTGTTATGTGTAACAGGCTGAGGTACAGACCTGCTCCAGCCTTCCCTGCAGGCATCTGCTGACTATTTACTTCTTTATCTGTGTGCACCCCAGGCACTAGCAGCAGACTACCTAGCCATCCACTCACTTTGAGGGTTGGAGGCTGAAATTCAATTATTCCAACACCTCAGCCCCAACTGTGGCTTCAGTAAGGATTTTCCTAGCCTTCTAGACATCTGATTTGACACCCTCCCACACTCTATTGATGCAAAGAAATATGTCATTTATCACAGAATAATCTATACACATCTCAACTAATCAAGAACTTAAGCTAAAAGAGAAAAAAAGAAGCTATGCTAAGCTATGCTTTATTTTTCAAATGCCATCTAAGAATCAGTTATTAATCCTGTTTATATAATTGAAATATTTTCTCAAGCATATGTAACATCATCCCACCAATGTTTTCCCCATTATATTAAAGTTGAGAACCAGTACCATCTCTTTTAATAATAAAATATGAAAGCGCATAATTGGAAAGTTGTGTGTTGTGTTTGTGTGAGCGAAGGAGAGAAATCTTTCTTCTAGTACAAATTCTGCCAGACTGCCCTTAACTCTTGCATAAAGGACCTCGGTGGTGTACCCAGGTTGTACTCTACATAATAATTTTTTTTATGTTAAATTCTTTTATTGGTACATTTTAGGTATACAACACAATTACATTTCTCATTGGGAACTTGTACCTTTACATGATGCATCTGGTTCTTATTTTTCCCCATTCCTAGCCCTCCCTTCACCCCCTCAACCCTCCTCTACTTACAAAGACTTTATTTCCATTTCCATCATTTTTCCTTTCCCTTCTTTCCTTCCCCCTGGCCCTCCCACTACCCCTACCCCTTTGGACCTTTTCTTCCTATTTTGTAAATTATTCATTCTAACCATTGGTACATTTTAGGTATACAATATAATGCCATTCATCATTGGAAATTTGCACCTTTACATAGTCTCTCTAATTTTTTTTAACGTCACCTCTTCTAACATTTTCTAAGGGGCCACTTCCTTGCTAGTAAGAATAAAAAGTCCAAGTTAGGTAAGCAAAAGCGATAAGGAACTAGGGGAGATAGGCAATCGGAGTTGAATAGAGGAAAGGTGTAAAAGGCCAGCGGCGGGCAGGGCAGGGCAGGGCAGAGCGGCAGCCCGGGCCCGGGGCTCGGAGGCCGGGAGCGGGGCACCGCGGGCGGCGCAGGACTCACCAGGAGCGCGCAGCCCAGCGCGGGGCTCAGCATCGCGGCGGCGGGGACCGGACGGGGCGGCCGAGCGTGCGCCTCTGCAGCCGGGCGCGCGACTTTTTATACGGCGTCCCCGCAGCAGGAAGTATCGCCCGGCTTTGATCCGTCATTTTTCTCCTCAAACCTCGCACCTTCCCTTTTCGGGAACCTTGGGCGGGCGGGAGCGGCGCGTTAACCCTTTCGGGCCGGGGCGGACTCCCCGAGGGCGGGCGGCCGGGCGGGGCGTCTGGTCCTGGCCCCGGCTGCGCTGCGTAACCAGGCGGCCAAGGTCTCGCTCCGGCCTGCGGTTTCCCGGCCCCTGGCGGCCCGGCTCGGGAAGCGGCACCGCCGGGAGCCCTGTGCCCTCCTCCGCCCCAGCCGCCCGGGCGCTGCGCCCCCTGCAGGCCGCAGTGCTCTGGCTCGGACACTTGGCAGTCACCCGGATCTTCGGGGTGGCATAAAGGCGGGGGCGGGGGGGGGGGGGACACACTCTCCTAACTCGTGCTCGGCGGCTCTCACTCCGCGCCCTCCTCCACGCGCTTGCGGTCCGGTCCTCAGAGCCGGAAGGAGTCAGCAGAGTCCGGGCTGACTGCCCGGGGCAGGCAAACCCTGAAAGCCCTTGTTCTGCCTACCCACGCTGTCACCGTGAAAGGCAGTCGGAGCCTCAGCTCCCGCACACTGGGCTCCGCGGCCGCCGCTCCTTTCTGCAGAGCGCTCCACGCCTGTCCGGAAAAGACTCCGCGCACCCCACCTGCTGCCTCTTTGGAAGTTGGATCTGATCCCTTCTGCACTGAACTGGGGGTCTGAAGTCTTCATGCACTTCATGGGTTGGCACCTGCAGGTTGTCACCCAGACTCTGTTTACACATGGCTGAAAAAAATCACTGCGGGACCCGCTTCCCCAAGAGGGCCCAGGGTTCAGTGCTGGGTCTCTCAGGGAGCAGAGGGAGGTCAGGAAAGAGGCCTGTGGGGTGCGGGGGGGGGGGCAAGTTCTGCGGCATGCCTGGAGCTGAGGTGGATCCAAGGATCAAACAGAAGATTCCTAGAATAAACAGAAGGCAATTGGAAAACAAGTGATCTCACCCTTTGTGAATTCCGGAGAAAGGGGTCACCTCAGCTTTCTCTGCAGGCCTGGAACAGACCAGCATGAGAATTTCCAGGATGTCTTCGCTGGACTAGGGAAAGTGTAGGCCCCCAGTAAGCCTCAAGCTGTGGGACTCCCCACCCGCCCCGCATGTTTTGAGCTTCAGTTTTGAGCTCAGGTCTACAGCCAGAGATGTTAACACTCAGACTTATGCCGAGACTCAAGGAAATCCAAGTTTTAGTTCTAAAGCCCTACATAAAGGGTGGGATTGCTCTTTCTGTTACAGTGATGTCTTTCTAGGATATTACTGAAGAAATTTTTCTCAAACAACACGTTGTCGGTATGTGGAAGTTAAACCTCAGAGAAAACTGGTCAAAGAGTAAGTCCTGCAGTGTTAACCCTGGAAAAGTCCACATTTCTCTAAATGTTTCCTCCTTCTTAAGACTAAAATAAAACTGGCATTGCCGAGGGAAGAAACACACAGAAACTTTAAAAAAGTAATATACAATTGACCATAATCGAATACTTGTGAGTACGAAATTAAATGACGCATGTGAAGTACCTTAGCCCAGTGCCCAGAGGAAATATTCATTAAATTTTAGTTGTGATGGTTCTGGAGGAATAACAGATGCAGGTCTTGGGGTTCAGGCACCCTTTGAACTCTCTCTCCAGTTGGTTCTACCACTGAGACCTCCACGTACCTCACCTACTTATGACCCCATCTGGTTTCTTTTGCTTTGGAAAGAGGATACTTTCATATCCACTGCATAAGATTATTAAGGGTTGCATGAGAGTTGAATTAGATAAAACATGTAAAGCACTCAAAACAGTGTCTTGCAGGTGGCATTCATTAACCGTTCATTAAGTGTTAGCGCTTGCTATTGTTACTACTCATAATGAGATTCTTGGGGTATTTGAGTACAAGTTTAGTCCAAGCTCCTCAGGGCAGGAACTCTGCATGTTTCTGTGCCCCCCGCCCCAAGCTCCTAGCACAGCCTCTGACTTCCTGTAACTAGGCCATAAATAATGGAACGGTGGAGGGGGTAATTAGTGGAAATCTGGAGACAGGCGGAGGTGCCATTTATCTAGAATCACAGCGTAGACTGTGTGTTGACTAAGTATCACAGCCCCCGACCATGGGCCGTTCATTAATCACACACCAGCAGGAACCCGACAGCCACCATGAGTTATTGCTGATCTCATTTGTTCTGTTCCTGGCCCAATCACCCAGCCCCCGGTGGTGTTCCCAGCAACTCAGCTTCTGAGGCAGCAGCCCTCGAACACTGGAGCTAGAGTTCATCTCAAGATTTAATTGGAGCGGACCTTGGGATTCCTCACTGAACCTGAGGGGGACAGAGGGGAACATCTGAACAGTAATCGGAAGTCTCCACCCATCTGTGACAGAGCGGTCCCTCATAGGCAGAGACTATCAGTGACATCAAGTAGAGCATCTCGGAAATCTAACCTTTCTTTCTGGGCACCACATGTGAGTGATGCTAGCTTTCCAGGGGAGGCTTCATCTGCTATCCCTCATCTTCTCTTCCCTAAAGTCCTTTGGATCACGCCCCACATGGAAAGTATTTTCACTGCCAGCACTTCTGATCATCTTTGACAACATGCTGTGTGTCCCCTGGCCCCTACTGCAGCCACTGCTAGCAGTAGAGAGTCCTGGGCTCTCCCGGGGGAATGCACTTCATCCCCGAAGCACTGTGGCCCAGCCCCTGGTACAGAGGTCGTCTGTAGTCATCACGATAGTGGGAAGAGCTGGAGCTCAGACAGCAATTGATTTAGGTGATTAGAAGCCAAGGCATGCTCTAGGATGACAAGGACTGTGAGGTGACTAACTGATCAAGTGTCTGAAATCCGATGCTTAAGCTTCGCCACCTGAACATCAGAAATAGCTCATTCTGAGGCTGTGTACATGGAAGGATATTAACTGGAAGAACAAGAATACATTCCTTGTTATTTCACTGCTGCCAAAAAGCGGCTTTCTTCTGCTTTCAAAGTAGGATCAAAGGAAAGTCAGAACATTTTGTGCAAAGAGCTTATGGTCCTTACTTTATTATTGCTTGCTTACTTCTTCATTAACAAACACAATTTTAACTGCATTACTATTCTAGGCAGTAATATTGAGACTTTGACTGTGGTCAGAATTGGGGGTGGACTTGGTTTTGAGAGAATAATGTGCACAGGAAGGCAGGGTATCAGTGAGTGACTCACTTTCTGATGGGGTTGGTCACCAGTTCATTCAGGGTCTTCTGGAAAATGCCAGGGAGTGGATATAACTGCTAGTTGGGGTTCCCTACTCAATGGCAAAAGGACTTGCTCTTTAAAATAATGCTTTCTTTGAAAATTGGCCCATTTGAGCATCTTACAGATCTATAAACAGGACTGCATATCCATGGAAAGAAGTTTCAAAAAGGAGCCACTTTGTTCTGAATGACATTAAAGCTGAGCTCTAAAAAATGAGTGCTCAGTAGTGGAGGAGACAGAGAAGTAGGGCAGGAGAGACTTTGCACAGGGAGACCAGGTGAGGAGCTCAGGGCAAGAGGAAGTAGGCTCCAGTCTCAAGGAATGCACCGAAGGCAGTGTGTGCATGGCGCACGGAGAGCAAGCCACTGACTGAGGGGGAAGGCTGGAGGGGCAAGTGGTCAGAATGCAAAGTGGAATTGATTCTTGTCTTTCTCCAAAGAACCGCTGGAAGCCCTGGAAAGTTTTAAGCAGCGTGTCTTAGTTAGTTCAGGCCACTGTAACAAAACATCACAGACTGAATAGGTGCTAACAGGGCTGGAGTCTGGTGAGAGCCTGGGCCAGAGAGGGGGGCCTTGTCCTTGTATCCTCACAGGGCAGAATAAGAGTTAGAGCCCCCTGGGTCTCTTCATAAGGGCACTAATCCTATTCTTAAGGGCTCCATCCCCATGACTGAATCAATTTTTCAAAGCCCCTCCCCCTAATGCCATCACACTGGGGGTTAGTTTTCAATAAGTGAATTTGGGGAAGGGCAACACGGAGTCTCTGGCAGGGTAATGTGATCATTATGACTGCTCTGGGTGCAATTTTCTGCCAACCTCTCAGGGTCATAGATCCAGACTCACACATGTAAACAGAAGCTCTCTTAAACTACAAATCATGGTAAAATCCTTGTTATCTGGGGACATGGAAGTTGGAAGTAAGGAACAACAGCATCCGCAGACCCTCACAGAAGGCCTGTGGTTCCCAGCAGCTGAGGAAGAGGCACAGATAAAACATGTAGCCTCTTGTGTCAGTCACTCCAGTCACTGCAACTGGACTTTCCTGAAACCCAGATACCCATCTAATGCCTACATAGTCCCAAGAAATTGCTCTCTTAGTTAAACAGCGACCCATATCCCAAATAAGTGCTCACCTGAAGGCTTCTGAGCAAATAATTGTCTATGTCAACATAGTATTAAAGAAGACTGCATGCTTACTCTGGGTTCCACCCCCAAATCCTCAGAATCCTTCATGGAACTTGCTCATGTCTTCTAGTGTTAATCAAAATATTCTCAGACAAGTGTTGGGGCATGTGCCTGTAATCCCAGCACTCCAGGAGACCGAAGCAGGAGGATCACTAGTTGGAGTCCCATCTGAGGAACTTAGCAAGACTTTGCCTTAAAATGAAAACTGAAAATGGCAAATGTACCTCTGTGGGCAGGCCCTGAGTTTAGTCCCCAGTATCTCACACACACACACACACACACACACACACACACACGCACACACACACACACAATCTCATCATCCCTAAAATATGAAATTTGTCTACATCTGGCTAATGGAGACACAGTGGCCTGAGGGAACCCTTGGGACTATTCTCTTATAGACAATGCTTATATTTGAGATTATTTCCTCCTTTAGCTAAAACAAACCTGTAGACACAGAAGTTTGGATGGCGTAGGTAGATTTTAGAGGGAAATACTTCCTGAAACAAGGGTTATAGCAGGTTGAGAATAAAGGAACATCTTTATGTGATGTGAAGTTGAAGAGGGTTGTGAAGCTATTTAATGTTCAGTGAAGGAACACCATTAACAAAACAGGAAAGAACGTCTATCTTAGCCCCCCCAAACTACTCATCTATTCAGGAAATATTCATTTAGTATTGATTACATTCCAGGAACTACGCTGAGTACCCCTATTATAGAAAGAAAAGGTTCCACACTGTCTTGAAAACATACAGTCAGGTGAGGGAGCAAGAATAACTGAATAGACCTTGAAGTGAATGCTT